GGCCTGGTGCACTGGGAAGACCCAGAGGGATCGGGTGGAGAGGGAGGTGGGAGGGGGGACTGGGATGGGGAATACATGTAAATCCATGGCTAATTCATTTCAATGTATGACAAAAACTACTGTAATGATGTAAAGTAATTAGCCTCCAACTAATAAAAATAAATGGAAAAAAAAAATCATGTACAAGAAAAAAAAAAAAAAAGAATTTGGTCTTTAAAGATCTCTCTCCCGACACACACACTTCCCAGCATCACTACACAGAAGAGGGAACTTTTCATTCCAGAACCTGTTTTCTTCCCTTTATTCACTTTATTCAGGTTGTGCATCCCCCATCATGTGCCCATCTTGACAACTTAAGCTTTGTAATGAGACCAAGTGAGACTGTAGAGAAGGGCAACGGAAGCGTGGAGTGGTCCAAGCGGAGCAGTGGATAGAGCTGGACAAGTCCCTTAACCTCCCTAAACCTCAGTTTATCCATCTGTAAAATGGGCACAATGATGCTATCTCCCTTGGTGGTGGTTACGAGGATGAAAGGAGATGATCACGTAAAGCACTTAGATGCGAGGATGACACTAAAGTGCTCAAATCTGTTTCCTGTGGTGGTGGTGAGACCATGCGGGTGATGGTAGAAGGCTGTGGTGGAGATGAGAAGCAAAGCGGCGTGTGAGGCTTAAGGGGTGCTTCATGGAATATTTGATATCTTTATAAGTTTTTATTTTCTACCCTATTGTCTCAACAACCTCTGATTTCTACTAGCACCTACTTATAGGTACCAAGGACTATGGACACACGCACTCTTCAGAGGTCCCCTTATACTCCTTGAGGCCTTCCCATGACAGCACAAGATGCTTCAGGGCCCAAGGCAGCCCCAGCTGACAGTTCTGTATCTGCCACAGGAACCCAATCCAGGACCATCAGGCACACGTCCATGGAGAAGTGTGGCAAGACGAAATGTCCCCAGAGGACAGGTGCAGAAGAAGCTGTGCTTTACCTTGCCTTGGACAGAAAAGTGTGCTGCCAACCAACATCCATCCCATCACCCACTAGCACCCCCAGAACAATTTTCAGGGTAATCCTGGCTTCTGAGAACCTAAGGCAAGAAATTCCCTAATGCCACGCTGTGTACGGAGAAGAATCGACACCACTTTGCCAATAGAGGTCCATATAGTCAAAGCTATGATGTGAGAGTTGGACTATAAAGAAAGCTGAGCGCCGAAGAATTGGTGCTTTTCAACTGTGGTGTTGGAGAACACGCTTGAGAGTCCCTTGGACTGCAAGGAGGTCCAACCAGTCCATCCTAAAGGAAGTCAATCCTGAATGTTCATTGGAAGGACTGATGTTGAAGCTGAAACTCCAATTCTTTGGCCACCTGATGTGAAAAGCTGACTCATTTGAAAAGATCCTGATGCTGGGGAAGACTGAAGGCGAGAGGTGAAGGGGACGACAGAGGATGAGACGGTTGGATAGCATCACCAACACTATGGACAGGAGTTTGAGTAAATTCTGGGAGTTGGTGATGGACAGGGAGGCTTGGCGTGCTGCAGTCCATGGGTTTGCAAAGATTCAGACACGACTGAGCAACTGACTGACTGACTGATGATTGTTCCAGTAGTCATGTGTGGATGTGAGAGTTGGACCATAAAGAAAGCTGAGCGATGAAGAACTGATGCTTTCAAACTGTGATGTGGAGAAGACTCTTGAGAGTCCCGTGGGCAGCAAGGAGACCAAACCAGTGAATCCTAAAGGAAATCAACCCTGAATATTCATTAGGACTGATGCTGAAGCTGAAGACCTAATACTGTGGCTACCTGATGTGAAGAGCGGACTCACTGGAAAAGACCCTGATGCTGGGACAGATTTGAGGGCAGGAGAAGCAGGCAAGAGGATGAGATGGCTGGATGGCATCACCGACTCAATGGACTTGACCTTGAGCCAACTCCTGGAGATAGTGAAGTCAGGGAAGCCTGGCCTGCTGCAGTCCCTGGGATCCCAAAGAGTCAGGCAGGACTGAGCGACTAACAGAGACATGAAGCACTCTGCTACCTCCCAGTGGCCACAGGTGGGTTTGCAATACTAAGACAGGAAACCCTCTGCTACCTCCTAGTGGCTATTAGGGGTTAAGCACCTACTGAGCCTGTGGCAGGGGCAGAACACATCAGCTAGAAGAGCGCTCTAGCCAAGAAATGCAGGCAGCATCTGGAAGCTGGAAAAAGCAATGAAAACAGACTCTCTGCCGAGAGTTTCCAGAAGGAACATAGCCCGGAAAACACCTTGATTTTAGCCCAGGGAGATCCATCTCAGCCTTGATCTCCAGAGTTGTAAGCCTAGAAATCACTCAAGCCTAAGTTTCAGTTCAGTTTAGTTGCTCTGTCGTGTCTGGCTCTTTGCGACCCCATGGACTGGTCACATGGATCACAGCCTTGTCTAACTCAAAGAAACTATGAGCCATGCCATGTAGGGCCATTCAAGATGGAAGGGTCATGGAGGAGAGTTCTAACAAAACTTGGTCCACTGGAGAAAGAAACGGCAAACCACTTCAGTATTCTTAAGAATGCCATCAACAGTAGGAAAAGCCAAAAAGATATGACACTGAAAGCCTAAGATAGAGAAGGGCTTATCTCAAAGAGATCTGTGGGTGTGACTTGTCTCATGGAGTGAATCCCAGTAAGTTCACAGAAGACCCTACAAATTTAGAATTATATTGGAAAAACACTTACCAGCGTTGATTAACAGGGACAGAGACAAAATGAAAACAGGTTCAGGACCCCCAAACTCATTTCTCCTGCCCACGTAATACATTCTTATCTCCTTAACGTCAAAAAATGTCTCTTAAACTAAATTGATCATTAGAAAATTGCTTGATTAGTGAAGATCAACAGGCTTGTGGGACATTTTCATCAATGCTCTGAGGAAGCCCACTTTGAAATATCCCCTTTGGCAGCACAGAAGCCTCCAAGGGCGGAATATTCAGGAAACTCCTACCTTCATAATTCTGGTCGAACTCTATTAAAGTGTGCTTCTGCCCCTGAAATTACTGAAAGACGTTCCCTCCTGCTGACGGATACTTCGAGCGTTCCAAGCCAACCTGAGACTGCCCTGTTCACACTGAGGGGGCCCTCACTTCCTTTAACCCCCCAACCCCAAACTCTCCGTAGGGCTCACGAAGACCAGTGAGGGTGGCTGGGGTTGGGCCCCGAGCTGAAGGATTAGCGAGAGGACCTCGCTGAGCCGCGGTCCTGGGCACGTCAAATCATTGAGGAGAAACCAGGCGCTCAGCGACGATGCGTATCAGCGCCTGCGCTAAAAGCACCGCTCCCGGAGCCTTAGCGGCCAAGTTGCTTCCTATCCAAGACGCCCGAGTATTCGATTCGGGGATGGACCCCTGCAAGGCATGTACAATAAAGCGTGACGGGAAACACCTTCTGGGAGCAGGAACTGCCGGAAGCCTGGCTAGGAAATACGGTCTACGAAGGTGCGTGGGTCACAGCCTCACACCTAGAGAGAGAACACCTGTTCGGCCACGGACAGAGCGCAGCGACTTCTGGGAGATGGAGTCCCGTGTCGCAAGGAGGCATATGCGCATGACCGGAAGTGACGCTTTTAAGGCGCGTCCCCCTTTGGCTCAGAGGCGGGCCTACGACCGCTGTTTCTGAGCTCCAAGCGGTAGCCGTATCCTGGAACCTTTTCACGTAAACGGCAGCGAGCGGGCTTTTTCAAGCGGTGTTCCGCTAGAGACCGAGCCGGCGGTTGCGTCACGGGCTCCCCAGCCGACGCCCGGCTGTGGCTGTGGAGACAATGAGAGACCCGGCTGGACAGCACGGACCCGGCTCAGCCCCGCAGACTCAGATCCGGCCTTTGAGGCGAGAGGCCTGAGAGAAGAGCCCAGAGTGGGGCTGGGGCTGCAGTGAAGCGACGCCGACGCTCAGAGAACTGCTGGGAGGCGGTGGCGCGAGGCGGGACCCGGATGCTGGAGGAAGGAGGTGAGGAGGAGTGTTGGAGCGGTTCGTGGCTTCCAGCCTGCGCGCCAGTACTGCTGTGCGACCCGGTTCGGAACTCAGCGGTTATCCTTTCCACAAGTAGTTGGGGACGGTCCTTTTTTT